TATATAAACAAAGACTTGGGCAGACAAAGTAAGCCTCATAACATAAGCCAATATATATAAACAAACACTTAGGCAGACAAAATAACCCTCACAGCATATACCAATATATATAAACAAAGACTTAGGCAGACAAAGTAACCCTCACAGCATATACCAAGATATATAAACAAAGACTTAGGCAGACAAAGTAAGCCTAACATCATATACCAATATATATAAACAAAGACTTATTTAATATAAACAAAGACTTAGGCAGACAAATTAACATTCACAGCATATACCAATATATATAAACAAAGAAAAGACTTAGGCAGACAAAGTAAGCCTCACATCATATACCAATATATATAAACAAAGATCTAGTCAGACAAAGTAACCCTCACAACATATACCAATATATATAAACAAAGACATGGGCAGACAAAGTAAGCCTGACAGCATGTACCAATATATATATAAACAAACACTTAGGCAGACAAAGTAAGCCTCACAACATATACCAATATAAATAAACAAAGACTTAGGCAGACAAAGTTAGCCTTACAGCAATTAACACAAAATTTAAGCAAAGACTAGGTCAGACAAAATACCCCTCACAGCATATATCAATACCTATAAACAAAGACTTAGGCAGACAAAATAACCCTCACAGCAAATACCAATATATATAAACAAAGACTTATTTATTCAAAGTAACCGTCACAGAATATAACAAAATATATATAAACAAAGACTTGGGCAGACAAAGTAAGCCTCAAAACATATACCAATATATATAAACAAAGACATGGGCAGACAAAGTAAGCCTCACAGCATGTACCAATATATATATATAAGAAAAACACTTAGGCAGACAAAGTAAGCCTAACATCATATCCCAATATATATAAACAAAGACTTATTTATTCAAAGTAACCGTCACAGAATATAACAAAATGTATATAAACAAAGACTTGGGCAGACATAGTAAGCCTCACAGCATATAACAAAAAATATAAACAAAGACTTAGGCAGACACAGTAACCCTCACAGCATATACCAATATAAATAAACAAAGACTTAGGCAGACAAAGCAACACTCACAGCATCTACCAATATATATAAACGAGGACTTATTTATTCAATGTAACCGTTACAGCATATACCAATATAAATGAACAAAGACTTGGGCAGACAAAGTAAGCCTCACAGCATGTACCAATATATATATATAAACAAAGACTTGGGCAGACAAAGTAAGCCTCAAAACATATACCAATATATATAAACAAAGACATGGGCAGACAAAGTAAGCCTGACAGCATGTACCAATATATATATAAACAAACACTTAGGCAGACAAAGTAAGCCTCATAGCATATACTAATATATATCAACAAAGACTTAGGCAGACAAATTAACATTCACAGCATATACCAATATATATAAACAAAGATCTAGTCAGACAAAGTAACCCTCACAACATATACCAATATATATAAACAAAGAAAAGACTTAGGCAGACAAAGTAAGCCTCACAGCATGTACCAATATATATATATAAGAAAAACACTTAGGCAGACAAAGTAAGCCTCATAGCATATACTAATATATATCAACAAAGACTTAGGCAGACAAAGTAAGCCTCACATCATATACCAATATATATAAACAAAGATCTAGTCAGACAAAGTAACCCTCAGAGCATATACCAATATATATAAACAAAGATATACTCAGACAAAGTAGCCCTCACAGCATATACCAATATAAATAAACAAAGACTTAGGCAGACAAAGTTAGCCTCACAGCATATAACACAAAATATAAACAAAGACTAGGTCAGACAAAATAACCCTCACAGCATATATCAATACCTAGAAACAAAGACTTAGGCAGACAAAGTTACCCTCACAGTATATACAAAATATATAAACAAAGACTGGATCAGACAAAGTAACCACCACAGGATATAACTATATATATTTCAGTGGACAATTGCTACCATTATCAGTATAATACAAAACATAAAAATCACTTTGGAGCCGGGACCAGACAAAGGTTGCTGTCAAGCAAACAACAATGCAAAGATAACCGTTACAGAAATGAACGAAACACATACATTCACACACATATAATATTTGGTATAGATACTGAATGCCTAAAATAAACTCCACTGCACCATACAGATGGTTCTTCCTTCTACGAACGATAACATAACAGCGTACCCGTTTCAGCATACAAAACTATGAACCTGGACTGATACAGACAATCCTGAATACTCCAGGGGCTACGGTCACTTTCGCTCTCTGCACCCCTGTAATATTTCATAGCAAAATTGAAGGCTAAATGCGCACCACAATTTGGATGAGACGAGAAAACTAGTTTGATCCTTTCATGTACCACGAAAGAACATGTCGAACGCGTAACGGTAAAATTTATTGGATTTGAAGTCGTGTGTCGCTCCTCTATAATCTTTGAACGAAAAGGTATCAGCCTTAGCGTTTGTTCAGGTTTTTATACCCGAGTCCATTCAAGTAACTCTCCGCGTGCCTTCAATTTTGCTACTATATATTCCAGGGATGCAGAGAGCGAAACCATTTCATTATTTAATGTACTAACGTATCCCACAAGGACTGAACAGACAAACACAACCGCCCCACAGTATTGAAAGAATACAGCTGCTTTCTATTTTGCTGAGGTTATGAGATGATATCGCCAGTTGCGAACGAGTAAAATTTATCACAGATGGCGAATATGAATGAAAAATTTACTCGTACTCGCATGGATTTTTCCCCTTAATATCTGACCTAATTTTTTTTTTTTTTTATTCCTTAACAGAACTTTTCTGAGAATGTTTCATTACATTTATATCCATAAGACAGATCAAGGGACATTAATTTTATTTCACCAGTTTTATGATGCATGATCGGTTCAGTAAGAGTAGCAAGAAAATGGCATACGCCTGGGTTAACTCCGCCCCAATCTACTATTGATAACGTCACATAATTGTGTCTTCCTGTCGGAAAATTTGCATAGATCCGCCCATTTGTCAATATCATGTTATGAGATGATAGCTTCAGTGTGAGGGAACAATGGTTACTGACTTCCATAACAACAGTGAGCAATAAAGAGAGAATCACACCATATACAAATTGCTAAAGGTTACGAATATATTTTACTTTTTGCAGAGGCCTTGGGTCGGCCCAAACAGCCAAATATCTAACGCTGATCCTTATCGCTCAGGTTTGCAAAAACGTCCGCATCCGATGGAGCAGAACGCTATACAGCCCCCAAAGAACCTTGGGGGAACATTCCGCCCTGTTATGCAGCAATTCGTCCAAACTTATCAGTATAACAAGGAACCAATAACTACACAATTGCCACCCGTGACCGTCGTACAGAGGTTCACTCCCCCTAATTACGCCTTCGGCAGCGTAAACCAATCCCCAGCGTACAGGTTTGAACCGTCGGTACAACCACAACGGTCAAATCAGGGACTAGGCCCAAACCAAGGGCAAGGAAACTTTCGAGTGCAAAACCAGAATAACCGGGGACAAAATCAACAGCAGCATCCAATGGCCGAGAGATTGATACAAAGAAAACCCCCTCCCCCACCATCACAACAGATACGACAGGCTCAAGGTATGATGGCTAATGGTAACAAAGGCAGGGGTAACACAAATAAGCAACCCATGAAAGCTGGAATAAACAATAGAATCATGAATAACCCACCCCCGCAAATGTTGGCAAACAACGTCCCTTTGTTTCAAAAGCCTCAGAATCAAAACGGAAATATGAGGAGTAACCCAAACCCTAGAAGACAGGGTGGAAATAGAAGGGCGAACGGGCAAGGTAAAAACTACAACTGGTTGAATAAGAGAAAGCCCCAAAGGCGACCGGCTAAAAAACCTCAGAGACCAAGACAGGAAATGACAACACCACCTCAGCAATTTAACCAACAACCGTTTGATGCCCAAGGTCTAGGATTTCCATTTAACGTCGCTCCTTCGTTTAGCAACCATGGACCAACCCCTCCTACTAAACCACCAGCCGCGCCAACGAAACCAAATATGTTCCCGCCTACCCAGCCATCCCCGTTCGGACCAACCTTCCCCCCGCCCACTGATCCTTTCTTCATGCCAACAACAGCTAACCCAACTACCAGGCTTACTCCTCCATCGCCATCTCCAACAAGGTTGGTAACTCCAAAAACGACCATGCCTATTGACGGGATCGGTCACAAATGTTTCCATACAGGCGAATGCAGTGCTGGATGTTGTTACGGCAAATCTGGCACCATGTTGGATACCGACACGTTCGGACCAAACGCACTCAAGAACGGACTAGGTAGGTATTGCCGTGAGGATATCCAAAAATTGAACGCTTTGTAAAGAAAAGATAATCCTTTTTAAGTTTTTAATTTCATTTTTCTTTATTTCTAGTAGAAATCAATAGATGCCTTTCATTTCGTGTATTTATTTGGTATCATTAGCGTTTGCATCTCATAAAAAGAGCCTATTTAGTTGAGGTCAGATTCACTTAAACGTTTTCACGTGTGTGGGCCAAAATGTAACACCTTATCATATAAGATAGTTTAATTATATATATACAATTATTATCCTTTGAAATATTTTCATTCATTTCAAGAAATGATTTGACGTTTTATAGTTAAGGCTGTTTATTTATTCATTAAAATATTCACTTCAACTATTTTTTGTCAATGTTTAGAAATTTGGTAGAATAAGTATGTTGTCACTTCGTACCATTTCCCAGTTTTGTTAAAAACAAAATAACGAAAAAAAAAAAAAAAATGCATCACCTAAACGAAAAGTATTCCATTTTGGATACCCCACATCATGCTGTAGGCATTAAATAAAACTCCCTCTCTCTCAGTACCGTAAGTAAAGCAGCGAGAAGAGAAGACTATAAATAAAAAAATATCTATACAAATATGCATGGTTGAATTTTCGGTAACTTATAGATGCCAACAAAATGACACAAAAGGACAACAAATTTTTCTTGAGTACATATGCTATATCACCTGGGATAATTGTTTTATATTTCCATCTTAAGGATTTGATCATCGTTAAAGTCATTTTTTTTTCTATTGACAAAACATTTTTTTTAACAATAGCTTGATTGGAAGAGGAGAACATCAGAAAATGTAAAATACAAATATTGAATAATTTCCCACTTTGTTGCATATATATAATTTTCATTATATTGAACATTATAAACTTTTTAAGCAGAACCGAAAGCTATTGTGATTAATCTAGTGTCAAATAAGGTGAAAAATACGTTGCAAAAGAATAGTCATTTTCAAAGAGGTTGCCGAGTTGTTTATATTTTCTTTAAATTTGTAATCTAGTTTTTTAAAACTTTTTTTCCAGATGCATGTTTCCTTTAAAATGGATTGCCAATAAATTAAATAAGACCCTGTAAAACTAGATAAAAGCGAGATTTGATAATGGTTTAAACTCCATTAGAGCAGATCCTTAAACTACGTGGTATATCATTAAGATCTACATACGCGTTATTAAGGATGCATAGTTTATCGGTAATTTTATTTTTCTGTTATCGGATATTCCTGTCATCAAATGTAACTTTTTTCGGACAAAAAGAACCCAAAACAATTTCTCATCAAACAGTCTTACCAGTTCAGGTATTTGATATTATTCTTAAATTAGGATTATCGAAGAGTGTAAATCCGTATTTTGAGCAAATCAACAAAACATTTCAATACGCTGACGAGTGCTCGGATGTAATACCTTTGATAACATATGGATGGAGAAATATCGAGAACACATGATTTTTTGCTGTATTTTAGTTGCTGGAACCTGCCAAATGAAACAGCCTGGTCTTGGAGAAACGTGCGATGACCTCTGTATATGCCAGTCAGGTGAGACTATATTTTTGCAATGTCATTATGTTCAGCAAACATATAATGAGTAAGTTTACAAATAAAGGTGACCCAATAGCTTTTCACGTCCCATTGGGGATTCGAATCCTAGCCACCATACCACCCACATTTAAACGTGTACCACGTGGGAAATCGTAATACAAATATAATAAGGGTTGAAACATCATGTACAGGACATTCTTCCCAACTTCTGATTCGTCAAAGCGTTTTTCAGACTCCTGATATTTTGTTTCATTTGTTTGGTTGTCTTTTTTGTAATCGTTCAATACTAACGTCCGTCTATAACTGTATGTATCGTGGCATTTATGTTTTTGATTTGTTTATTATGTTCGTTTGTTTTATTTTGTTCTTATTGTATTGGTTGGATGACAAGTGATTTTTTTAATTTCTTTTTTGCAGAGTTTGAGTGCTACCGCCGTTATAAGCCTAACTACAAAGAAGGAAAACTCATGGCCCAGAACAGCATGTACGAGCCACCGGCACCTCCTACAAAACCACGCCGGACATGCATGCGCAAGGCTGTTGCATTAGCAGAACGCTGGTCATTCTGGAAATGCTACTTCGATACTGCATGCTCGGGACCGCTATTAAAATAACTTCTGTTTTTATATATATATTTTTGTAATGAGTGCAAAAAGCCAGGAATGTTATCCCTCCTTTTTATAGTGCTGTTTACTATGGCTGGCATTCGCTTTAATATGGCCCCACATTTAATAATCTTTTGAATAACACAATTCGATATGCAAGACCTTTTAATGTAATATTCGTACCTTCATTGTTTAGGAATGTATTCAAAATATTCGAATTTACGATATCATGAGTTAATTATTTTTTTTTAACATGACAACCCTTGACTCATGTTTGCGATTCCATGAAATGAATATCTATGTGACGATTCAGGATTGATGCTTATAATGTTAATAATTTTCATTTATTCAAGGAAATACTGGGCTGGGCACATAGATACTCGTAATACATAAATCAAGTACGATTGTTTTAGCTAAACAATCTATTGAACGGTTAAAACAATAGAATGGAGTTGTGTACAACTTATTATATGGTTGGTTAAAATAATTGAATGGTGCTATTTTAGCAAATTTAAATCGTAAACTAATATTATGTTATTGTTTATGATATTTAGAACAGTTTACTCATGTCCTGTTGTTTTTAAAACGTATATAATGGTTTAAACAATAGCATGAAGTTTACAACATTTTGAACAATTAAGAATATCACATTGTTTTTGCAACTTATGAAATCGTTAAATAATATCATGGCGCTATTTACACCTTATTGAACAGTAACAATAGTGACATCGATGATTAGAACCAATTTAAGGTGAAGAGAACTTTATATATTTTTTCAAAATTATTGAACGGTTAAAATGCTTTTATGATGTTATCAACATTTTAATTATAATCGTAAATTTTACTACGTTGGTGATATAACGACACTTTTCATTTGTTTAAAAAACAACATAATTGGCGTATAGTACAAGAGTGTACATGGTTCATATTTGTGATGTAACAACCCTTTTCATTGGTTCAAAAACCAATATACCTGGACAATAATACAATAGTGTACATGTTTTAATTGCCAGCAAATTATGCGCTCGTAACGCTCTACTGATATTGCAATGTAAACTAACGACCCTAGAATGACCTTTCTGACATGAATAACCCCTCAAATCATAAATGGAAGATTACCAGAACATGAACAAACATTGTTTGCGTTGTTTGGCTATTTGAATTGACTTACCTAATTTGTAAAAAGGTCCTTTTAACTATATATTTCTAGTAATTACTCTTGTCGAGTGAGGGTGAACGTGTGTAAGTTCATAAATGAACGTTTCCAGGTTTACTTTATAACCACGTTATCCTGAAACTGCATGACCTCTAGCAGCTCAACGGAAGAACGTACGACATCATCTGTGATATCGGCTTGTTGGTAAAATAAAAGAAAGGGGTATGACATGACAAATGCTTTTGCGGACAATAGAACAGCCTACATTGGATGATTTAGGTCAAGTTATCTTATAGTTGATGGCGAAGAGAGGAAGGTACATTCAGTAACATTTACACGTGGTAGAATATATATGATATAAAATATGTGGAGTTATACCATGGTAGAGCATATAACTCCGATTTCGAAAATGTTGGGGAAAAAATATACCCACACCAAATCAGCTTTCGTTATATACATGTATTATATTCCATCATAATACATGTACAAATCACCAGAAAAAGGCGATTTTTGGATTCATGCGTTTTAGAAGATAAAAATTGATGCATGCAAAAAGTCACACAAAGAAACAACTACTGCATTGAATGGCAGAATTTGTCCATCCATCCATCATACGTGACTCTACAAATAAGTTAGTATTAACGGATTATTTAATTTAAAATCAGTATCTCGTGTGAAAGATCATCTTGATCAAGTTGGTAGGTTGTGTCTCCATGTGTTATCAGACGTTACTAACACATGGGTAACGTATTACTTGTTGATAAGAAATCAACAGTCACATTATTTTTTTGTTCGAATTGTTTCCTATTTTATTGTATATATGTGGTCACAATTTAAAAAAAAGAACAGTTGGCACATGTATGTTTTTTTTATTTCATTGTTCCGACAATGTGGTTTACAACGACAGAGGCGTATTTTCAACACAAGCTATAGATTTATCAGTTTCTATAGACAGTAGACTTAATCACAAATACAGTCGATGTAACACGAAGGTAAAATCTCCTATTGTATACACGTTCATTTAGCACAACCATTGAGATATCTGTGTGTGAAGTTTCAATGACTATTAATATATGTAGTTTTCAACTTTATATCAGACAAATAACAATGATAGCTTCTGTGCACTTAATTGTTTAAATTGTACGAGATGACAATCGAATTCAGTAACGCACTTTGCTCATGTTCATTAAGGTTTTCTATATAAACGAAATGGCTATCAAATCGTACAAATTAAAAACTAAATATTAGTGTAATTACGCTTTACTGACCATTTGTCAGACAAAAGGAGAAAATACGTTTTGTACTAATTATTGAAATGTCACACTTAAACATGTCACTGGTTGTGCTATATGAATCTGAATACGATACATACTTACTAACATGCGGAAAAGTTTTGGTTCGAATTAAAATATTTTAAGGATCCCTGTACTACTGCCAAAAGTGCTTGAAAGTGTTCTTTTTCCCTGCGTGACTATAGCTTTAATAAATAATTTTTGAATAGAAAACCGTACCTTGCGAGATTTTTATGAGAAATCATAGAGATGAAATCGAAAGGGATAATCAACATCAGTATTTTTTTAAATGTAAAAATAATAATAAAAAGGGCTAAACTGGGATTCAAACCCAAGACTTTAGATAGACATTCTAGCGCTCTAACCGATGGAGCTACCTGGTCAACGGATGTGTTCTGAACCACCTGTGTTACAGTTTATCTAAACGGAAGTTAAGGGGTGGTTACTCTATATAGGGAAAACCATGTGCAGTGATACCGGCATCCTTTCATCTAAGTAGAATGCTGCTTCGAATATATTCTGATTGATTTCTGTAATCTTATTTTACAGATGTGTTTGTGGTAATTCGTTTGGCAAAATATGTCATTTGTGGTTTTGCTGAGATGTTTAGGGAACCAATACTCGGTATACTTGGAACTTAATATAATTTTGATTATTTTGTTCAGATTTGACAAAAATAAAAAAATTGATGTAATATTCTGTATTGCCTTATATAAAACAATATTGATGTTTTGCAGCATTGAGCTGTTGCTTTGTTGTATGTCTATATGAATAAACGACACAAAGTACTAAATTACCACTGTGTTTACTTTTATAGACAGATAAACAATGCAAACAACTGATTAAACCATGTTACAATACATCCCCGGCACACACGCAGGCAAACACACATAGGGAGAAACTAGCCAGGTGGCATAGGACAAGTAGTTAGCGCCTGATAAGGCAGCTCCTGCGATTTCCTCAAAAATTATATTTATAAATGTATATGCTAATTGTATTGAGTGTATGATTTGTATATCTATACACTGTAAAGCACTTTAGAGTGGCATATTCAGTCAGATAGGGCGCTATATGATCTATTGTATATTATTATTTATATAAAAAGACACTTACATTACTTTTGTGATGCAGCGTCTTAGAAACAATCATAACATGGATTTTATCAAACAATAAGAGTCAATGTTTTCTGATTGGAAACTGTCCTACCGTAAAGAGTAGGGGGGCCAATCGAAGTGGTATCAAATATTGACGGAAATTCCCGAATGAATGACTGCCGTGGTCTGACGAAACTGGTAATCATTGAAAAGATAAGCACGACCCCTCAAATATGGATATTCCATATTTTGAGAAACAGTTTCTTTAAAGACATCAGTCTAGAAAGCCCTTTAGAAATTATGATATTTCTTATCAAACATATATTAATTCCCGGAACACCTGATTTTGTACGGTTCATATTTTACCCCATTACATCAATTTTGAGGTCAAATATCGATTTTGTTATTACATTGGTACTTTCTTGTTATTTTGTACGTATAAGCCCTCGTACCTTAATATTAACAAATAAACTCCATGTTCGACCTCCAGGTGGCACTCCTGTCAATAGCATAGCCGAAATGTCCAAAGTTCGCTAGCATTAATGTGAGAACAATTTTTTTTTTTTAAATAAGGAAAAATATTTACAATGATTGATGAAAGCCAGATGTTATGCACTTCAGTGTTAAGTGAGAAAATAATAATAATTTAAAATTGCTCCATGAATAACCTAGACCTAAGCTATATATCAATGTATTGTTTTGAATGCAAACAATTTTCTATGCATAGAACGCAGCTTTATAAAGTTTATATAGGGATAGAATTGATTTGTTTTCATGTACATTGCGGCAATGAATAGCAGTAGTTGAATCTAAATATCCTGTGGAGCGCGTTAGCGCTTCTCAGAAGATACATGTATGTAGATCAGCTACTGCTATTCATTGCCGCAGTGTACATGAAAACAAATCTATTCAATTTATATCTTACCATGTTACCATGGACTACTTTTTGTAAATTTGATATTTTTAATATAAGTATCGGACAGAAAACCATAAAAAAGGAACAGCCGGAACTCTAGCCTACACACAAACTTCAAATGTTCGACTTCTGTTTCTTCCGCCGATCAGCTGATTTAGTTACAAAGAAAAAAAAAATCTAGAATCTAATAATTATCAACACGTAATATTCCTTTCATTTTTGACAGTTGATTATATTGGATATTGTTTCGTTTTGCATTACGAACACCGCATATTATATATCTAAAAAAGATTATGTCCGCACTATTTCAAATCATCGGTCACCATAGTAACCATCCAGGTCACTCGTCGGCCGAGCACCCGTCGGCAGTAGGTATAGAGCTCATTTGAAGTTAAATGTACATCCGTTGAATGATATAAATGATGATAGGCTGGTGGATGAAGTGCCCTGTGTCAAAACAAAGTTCTCCGAGTTCAATGTACAAGTTAATGTCACGGGGATTACCCAGCCGGACGGTTGGTTGTTAAAACGTTTGTGACCACGAAGAACCGATTGCGAGTCGGAAGTATTTAATATGACAATGTAATAAGCATTTTTTTAAATTTGAAATTAGAAATAATAATAATATTATTACAATAGTGCACCATTTGTTGTAATGTTTATCATTATTTCTGGCGACTACGTTATCTCGGAGAAGGGGAAATAACTCTTCTCAGAAACGGTACTATGCGTAGTAATATGAAGTGGTCATTGTGTGTGAAATCAGCTGACTGGTTGCACAAGAATCGTTGTATTTACAGTATATTCATAGGCTAATGGCAGTCGTTTTCAGTTGGTACATATGTAGATTCATGAACAGAACAGACATCAGGAATGTAAATATAGATAAATATCAAAATTTTGTATAACTGAATTAATAAGCAGTGGGATATTTTTGTTTAAAAACAACCCAGTAACATTATTCACATTGTGCTGAAATATCAATCTAATGCAAATACCGTTAGTGCATGCATAAATAAAAAATATACCAGATATTAAGCAAATGACAAAAAAAAAAAAAAAAAAAAAAAAAAAAAAAAAAAAAAAAAAAAAAAAAAAAAAAAAAAAAAAAAAAAAAAAAAAAAAAAAAAAAAAAAAAAAAAAAAAAAAAAAAAAAAAAAAAAAAAAAAAAAAAAAAAAAAAAAAAAAAAAAAAAAAAAAAAAAAAAAAAAAAAAAAAAAAAAAAAAAAAAAAAAAAAAAAAAAAAAAAAAAAAAAAAGAAGAGAAAAACGAAACACACAGATCCCAAACCTGTATTCATTAAAGGCGATTGCCTTTTATGAAGGGCCGGATGAAATCAGCGTTCATATAATTGACGTTTTTACCCTTTCCATTAACAGGTACATGTATTTTTAGGATTAACTGGAGCATGTTGCATAATCCCTGTCACGTGGTCACTATGGCAACCAACGTTGCCGTTCCATAAAAAACACACCATGACGTATTTGATATATACAACGATATCCCGAACAAAACTCATAAAAATATAAACCATTTAACTCATACCCTTAAATTCTTCAATGTTATTACTTTGCATAGGGAAATGGAAAAAACCCACCATAATACCATCATTGGCCGATAAATGATACAAGGTTCATGTGTTAATTATAATTAGCACTTCTGTATTTTGCTTGACGTTGTGACAATATGTTCGCTAGCATGTTTGTTTTGGATTATTGGAACAGGATGCATAATGACTCAGTATAATGTGTAATTTACAGACACACCAGACACCCCTTAATACTGCATACAGGCACGCTTTAGCCAAGTCAAATATTTGCCATTTGCCGACAAAATCCTTCCTCTCCCTGTAGTAATTTCGCTCATAACATGTTATGTAATAATATTAACTATCATGATAAATTCGCCCTCATTGTGTATGGTGAAACAGGCGAAAGTTGAAGCGTGGCGAAAATATCCCGATATACTATATGCCTACCTGTAGCCTTGAGGCATATTAAACTATTGCAAGACCCCCTCATCGGGAAATTCAGATCCCAGCCCTTTATTATGTCCCCCAAATGAAGTTGGGAACATATTGGTTTTACTCCGTTTCTTCTTCTCCTACTTCTTCTTCTTCCTCTTCTTCTTTACTCTTCCTCTTCTTCTTCTTTTTACTGCGTAAACTTTTGTCCGCGCGTTTCCTCAGAAACTATAAGTTGGATTCCAATGAATATACACACGAGTATCGGGGCATGTGTCTAGATGTGTGAGAGACTGTTTGGACCAGCTGCGCATCCATAATGGCCGCCACGGCCTCTGATCTATTAACACATTTTTAGATGTATGTCAAAGTAATGCCATCGGTCCCTGTCTATGTCAAATACTGCTTAAACTTGGTATGTAAGAGTATTATGGCGCTGTCAGATTTTTTGGCATGGATACATGTATTTGGGTGACATCTGTAATGGTCCCCCAATAAAATTAGTACTTGTTCATACAATCGCTTCGTTTGAAGAAACGAACATACTGTAGACATGCTACTATTACCGTTCTAAAATTGATGAAAGGTTTCATAAATGGGTAGCAGTGTGTCAGAATTGGTCTTATCCATTGTTTTGGACTGGTAAGTGTATTAATGATATGTATAAATATATATATATCAAATTTTCAGGAAAATTCACAGAGGCAACCCTTGTTTCATATTTATTTATTGTTTTTTTATTAGGAAAATAGCAAATTCATGCTACATTTATGTATTATTATTAGTAAAAAATGATACACAGCTGTTATAGTTATCATATTATGTGTCGTGACTATGCAAAAAGATATATTTTTCAAATCCCTATCACATTTTCAGTTTAATGTTCAACGAAGGCGTCCGTAAACAGGCATTTCCAGAACACCTTATTATGTCAACCAGTAATTTAAATGTATATAAATCTTCTGCAAAAATAAATAAAAAATCCCAATCCTTAATTCATATATGCAATTGTATGGGTTGAGGAAACAACGATCACGAACAAAAGTATTGGTCAATAAATGATACAAAAGTTTGATATACGTACAGTGTATTCATTATCACAGTTGTTACATTAACAGGTATATTTTAGATTAATTGATAGAGGTTGCATATGACGCACATTGCCATTCTTAATCAGGCGCTCCCTGGCGCCCCCTGACCTTATTTATGGAAACCAACACTGTGTCTCGATAATTAACAGCTTAATACAGATAGAGTGATGGTGACATAAGTTACCTATATTAGTCAAACGTTTGGAGTAATGTAACTCATGAGTGCCATGTCGGACGTCATATCTCCTTACCGGTAACACCTGCTCTTTTCAGAACATCTGCATGTCCTTTAACATATTATAGGGGTGCAGAGAGCGAAAATGAGCGTAACAAATAGATATGGAGGATGGTTTAACTTTACACAATGCTAATACCCCCGCAAACTGTTCAACATGCACTTTACAATTATACAAATGTATTAGTTCCATAGGGTATAGCCCAAGTTTCCACTTGCCCTTACACCAGACTTAGACATTTTGACATATATATCTGGTTGGGCCAGTCATCTATATGTTAAAATGTCTAAGTCTGGTGGAAGGGTCAGAGGACATAAGATACAACGACGTATTCGAGGTTGTAATTTCCCACCGTTAAAGTTGCGAATTTTCGGAGCAAAATGAAAGTATGCACGAAGAAATGTATCATTTAATTTGAATACTAGTCTTCACTTGGCCCTATTTTTTGACTGTAGCTTTTTGCTTTTTTAAAATCATTATCATGTCTGTTCTAGGTGATGAAGATTACCGGCAACTGTTTTTGGTCGTATTTATGATCTTATTTGGAAATGACCTATTTCCTCGTGCGATATGGAGGTAGATTTATTCTCTTTTAGTACGACCATTAGTGTGTCTTGCTGTTTCGCTGTTTCTACCACTTCCCGTTTTGAGTACGTGACATTATTTTGCTTGACTTAACCTTACATGCTGATTTCGGTGATGTTCAATGTATTTTTGAATAGGATTTAATAGGATTTAATAGGATGTTATAGTAGGATTCAAAAGAATATTTGGTTTATTTGGTTTGTTTGTGTTTTACGTCCTATTATCAGTTATGGTCATTTAAAGACATGCCAGGTTTTGGAGATGTCGGAAAACCGGAGTTTCCGGAGAAAAAACACCGACCTACTGTTCGTACCTGGTGACTGGCCCACGTAGGCCTCGATCCCGCGACCTAGCGTTGAAGGGCTAGTGGTAGCAGAACGTCAAACGCCTTAATCACTTGGCCACCGCTGCCTCTTAGTAGTATTCAATAGGATTTAATAGGATACATGATGGACGCAGGCAAGTATTCGACTCTATGTCGTTATCATATAATATTACAATTCTAATTTAAAAATCACTAAGGTTGATATATTTGTAGCTAACTAGGTTATTAAACAGTTCAAGAGGTTTCCAATGATTCTCCAAACTAATTTGACCGCCTCGGGAAGACTGTTCCATATACAATGTATAAACAGTTTTGTAGCCCAATGAATGTTTCCTAATCTCTAATTTACAATGTTTGTCCTTTATTTTGTTGTTGTGTATGCCTTCTTGTTCTAGATGCTGAATCTTGATCAAAGATGCCAGCAGTAACTTTGTTGTCGTAAAAGTTGTTCAAAGTTTTATAGACGTTAATTATATCTCCTCTCATTCTTCAGTAAGTGTTTGTGTTCCTTATTTCTTAAGATGATCGCTGTAGGAAGATGCTTCAGCCACGGTACATGTAATAGTTGTGTTGCCCTTCGCTGTACCTTCTCCATTGGTTTCATACACCTACCGCGTATTCCAGGAACGGACGGACCAGTGCCTTGAGCAGCTGTTTATAAGTTACTTCATCCAAATATACAAATAATCTGCTAATAAGCCCCTTACTGCTGTTTGCTTTGTTTTGTTTAGTAGACCTAATTTTACATGGGCAGATTTACCGATGAACAAGAAGACGCTTGCCCTTTCAGAACACATGGTGTTATCTCATTGTATAATTTTTTTGCGTGTAATCTTCCTATTGTTCAACTTTTGCCTTATTTTTATAGTAAGTTCGAGATGCAGTTTTATCGACACTTTGGGTTTTCTTACTTATTTTTGTTTTTGTTTGTTTTATTTTGTTTATTCACAATATGCCGATACTTTCCAAAACTCGACACGCCACAGTAAAAAGTTTTCGTAGTGAATCGTACTTACAAAAAACGTTATGACAAATTGTTATCTTTATATTTTTGTGACTTTGTTTATAATGTCTTGAAAGAACACAGAACTAAAACAAAATAACATTTTAATATGCAGTTTAATTATGATTCCCCATCAAACACTATGGGCTTTTGTTCTAAGATAAATTCTTATTGGCCGTCATGTGAAAAGCGATTCTGTGAGGTCTTTCTGTATTATGATAAATTTCAAAATTGCCTACACAATATACTTCATTAACAAAATATTACTGATAAACACATAGAAACGTATATCTAGAAGTCCCTGTACGACAGCAAAAGATGACTCTTTATCACGCGTCCGAATTCCATCTTTTAAAATAAAAGTTTGGTTTGTATTTGTTTACGTCCTATTAACAGCTATGGTCATTTCAGGACGTGCCAGGTCTTGGTGGTGAGGGAAAGCCGGAGTACCCGAAGAAAATCCACCGACCTACGACCAGTACCTGGCGACTGCCCCACGTAGGTCTCGAACCCTCAAGCTTCTATTCGTACATTTTCGTTCAAGTTTCTAGTAATTTTAATGCTTTACAACATATCTTAAAATGTGAATTTTATGGAATGCTTCTTTTGAAAAGGACTTTAACAAATATTGTTACGTTCGTGACAATAGAAAAAACATAGTTTTACCTGTTGGTACGCTTAACCTTAAGAAACTTATATACATGTACTAAGTTATATCAACAGATTGTGTCATTAAAATTTATTCGTTTTAAATAATTCTTGAGGAAAAAACAAAAGTTTTGAAATAAAGAATGGACAATTTAGAAATATAGGATGGATGGACCGATTCGTAACGATAAACCAGCCTTATGCTCATGCTTGCAATCAACCATTACATTTGTAACAGTCAAACACTGATTAAATGCGCTGATTTTAAACAATACGTGACAGATTTTCTGATGTACCGTCTATGAAAAGATTATTCGATACAGTTTCTGTGCAATTAATATATGACTGTTTACACAGTAAAATAAAATATAATTTATATTGTGCAGCCAATTCGTTCGATATTGATTTATTTCTTTAATCCTTCACATATTTTAAGCTAGTTTTGGTTTGATGTGTTTATTTTCGTAAATGTCTCTTTTTACAGTGTTGTTGGCCCTAAATGGCACAAATTGACGATGGACCGTTAAACAATACAAAACAAAAACAAAAAACAAATCACAACAGTAAAAGCCATTCTGATCTCATACCATACATTGAGACCCCTGTAATAATAATAATGATAATAATGTGAGGTTCTTATACACCGCTTTATCACAACCTAGTTCGTAGGATGTCTCAAAGCGGTTCACAAATTATTATCCGTGGTTATAGGGCCTTTGCAACCAGCCAATACCTTTCTCAACTCCCTGGAAAGCATACAACCGGTGCTGCCATTTCGGCGCTCACAGCTAGCATTCAACAATTCTTCTAACACTGTCCAACAAGCTGAGTAGACTTGAAAAGATACAACATAGTGCAGTGCCGTAACGCAGACCCGCAACCCGTGGATGTCTTGTTGACAACATTCTGCCAATAACCATATATAGAGCCAGAATAGTACACAGCTCAAAACAGACCGGGGGTCTTGTTGACAACACTCTGCCAATAACCATATATAGAGCCAGAATAGGACACAGTTTAAAACATCCCGAGGGGTCTTGTTGACAACCCTTTGCCAATAACCATATATATATAGCCAGAATAGTACACGGCTCAAAATAGCCTGAGGGTTCTTGTTGACAACCCTTTGCCTATAACCATATACAGTGCCAGAATCATAAACAGCTCAAAACAACCCGGGGGTCTTGTTGACAACCCGCTGCCAATAACCATATATATAGCCAGAATAGTACACAGCTCAAAATAGTCTGAGGGTTCTTGTTGACAACCCTTTGCCAATAACCATATATAGAGCCAGAATAGGACACAGCTTAAAACATCCTTAGTGGTCTTGTTGACATCGATGACAACAAGATATAGGACAGTCTCACAAGTCGAAGACTTACAACGACTGGAAGAACAGTGCGAACACTCTGACAATGACCATATACAGTGCCCGAATCATAAACAGCTCAAAACAACCCGTTTTTGTTTTTATATAGCCAGAATAGTACACAGCTCAAAACAGCCTGAGGGGTCTTGTTGACAACCCTCTGCCAATAACCATATATTGAGCCAGAATAGTACACAGCTCAAAATAGCCCGAGGTTTCTTGTTGACAACCCTCTGCCAATAACCATATATTGAGCCAGAATAGTACACAGCTCAAAACAACCCGGGGGTCTTGTTAACAACCCTCTGCTAATAACCATATATAGAGCCAGAATAGTACACAGTTTAAAACAGCCTCATGGTCTCGCTGACAACTATTTGCAAGTAGCTTTATACATTTATTCAAATAGTACACTTCTCAAAACACAACAGCCTGACGGGTTCTGGTTTGCCAACCACCTGCAAGTAGCTATGTACACAGTCTAAATCACGGAATTTTCAAAACAACCTGATGTTTTAATCTGCACATACCTATGCACACAGTCTTCTTCGTACACCTCCCCGAACACAACAGCATTACGATAACTTGGTAACAATTATATGATATATACTGTCTAAATCAACGTGGTCTGATTGGATGTCATATTTCAAAAGTCTTCCGGGATGTTCTGGATTAAGAAGTATCTACGACAAAATGTCAATTTTAGGTACACAAGAAATTCTCACATTTTTTTTTCTAAAAGAGAGTTTCTTTGAGAGTTTGTTAGGCATCTAGCAAATTTGCTAATGGAAATCGAAAGTATCTATACCCGTGTATGCTTTTTAACTTAAGAGTAAAAATAACAACAGAAGATTTTTTCTGCAGATTTAGGATTTTTGAAAATATTTCATAAAATATGTAGAATAACTGGAAAGCCTACAACGTCGCGCTACGAAATATCTACCGGGGATGAAGGGCCTAGAATACCAATAAAGATTAAGGAAATTGAATCTTCCAACACTAGCAAATCGAACGTACAAGATTGTAGACAGAATTTACGAGAGAGAGGCATGCACTTTTGTTAAGCTTTGCAGTAAAGAATCAGTCAGAGATATGTAAAAGGGGAAACTCGAAAAAATATATTCTTATATCAATCAACAACATCCCCGAGGAGAAACTATTTCACATTTCGTACATTTAAAACTGGGAACAATCTTCTGGATGACATTGTACTCCAAATACTTTCAAGAACAAAATAGATAAACTTTGGCAGAATGAAAAACTTTATTTTATAATTATAGGGCAAATTTAATTAACAATGAACTTTAAATTATACAATTGTTAAATTTTTGAGTCCAGTGTGGATGAGCTGAGCTCTATCGGCTCCTGTATTGGAAATTAACTTTAACTTTAATTTTTGAAGACATGATCTGTATTGTTTTAGAATCCAAAGGTAAGCAAAAGAAACTACACACTATCACACACAATATAAACAAAATCTAATAATGAAAAACAATAAATTCTTATGTGTATTCTTTAATATACATATTTATACATATATGGCTTTTTTAATTTGTGATCGTTCAACATCGAGCAGGGAAACGCTGTGTACAAGTTTTAGAGTCAAAAAAGACGCGTTTCCTTTTCCTACCGCGCAATAGTTTAAACGAATAAAAAAGAAAACATTTTTCCTTCGTGCTTTAGACGAAGTCACTTCTTAAAATTCACCATAGATGTTAAAGAAGAAATCAAGCTATTTGTTCTTCAATTGAAATCACATATAAACTGAAACAGAATAATATCACATAACACATATTAATACGAATTCACAAAGACCAGCTTCATAAATGAAACAACGTTATCAATAGAGAAATATTATTACAAATACAGAAACCAATAACCTATGATAAACGTCTATACGAACACATCTTGTTATTTCCCTCTTCCAATAAATGTATGTATATCTCTAAAATATATATCTATAGACTTCATGAAAAATATCAATGTTCCTTGTCTTCTGAACACCTGTTTTGAATATTCATAACTGATTACGTAATGAAATGACGTGCGCATTGTCGTTTCCGGTCTTTACAATTTTCTGTTCCATCGTCAATGTAAGCACCCGTTCTTGATTAACGCCCCAGTTTCAATAGTCGTTGTCTGTTAACAGCAAGCTCTTCCTTGAGTTGTCGTCTGCCACTCGCTGCCAACATGTCCGCCAATGATGATAGAGCCCCGTTAATTGACAACCTTTGACTTCTCTTTTGGAACTCCTCTGGGTCTTCATAAGCGAGCGATGATCTTGGATGTACATTTTGGTAACCATCTGCTGATACAAGTCGATAATCTGGAACAGTAGATCTGATTTGTGTTTGTTGTTCTGTACGTATTGACGTATCCTGCGAGTTTCGTATAGGATCGTCGTTGTCCTTATCATGTTGAACTCCCCCACTGCGCTTGCCCAAGTTAGACATTTGCTGTCGAACGCTAGCGAAACGATCGACGCGGCGACGTCGTTGAGAAGCATATAACATCCGGGCAAGCATGCGCAGATCTCCGTTCAGTGACAGGGGTATAGCTCGTTTCTCAAAAGGTACATTTACGCCTGAGTTCCCAGAATGATGTTGTTCCAAAAGTATATCACTCGCCGTCTTGTCAAGAGCATACGTGTTGACAGCAGTGCAATAGATCATCACCAAGGAGACGAGAAGCAGATGGTTGTTTTGGATCTTCATAACTGGAAAATAAAAATAAAAGATATAGTACATGTACAACATTTTTTTTTAAATATTGAATACTGGTGTCAACAATGACATCTTTTTTATAATTATTAAACTTGAGCAGCTATCCATGTCAAGTACAATGTACGTGATCAGAGGAAAACATACGATTGACGATGGTTTCGCCTGAGTGGAAGGGTCTACATAACCTTTTGTCCTTTTCAAAAGAATTTACTGAAATTGAATTACAAGTGTGTAGTGAATATCTTACATGTGTATAGTACTATGTTTAAGTATACACTATCTTACAAGTGTGTAGTGAATATCTTACATGTGTATAGTGACTATTTTACAAGTGTACAGCGACTATCTAGCAAGTGTGCAGTGAATAGCTTCCATGTATATAGTGACTATTTTACAAGTGTACAGCGACTATCTAGCAAGTGTGCAGTGAATAGCTTCCATGGATATAGTGACTGTTTTACAAGTATGTAGTGACTATTTTACATGTGTGCAGTGAATATCTTACAAGTGTGTACTGAATATCTTACAATTGTGTAATGAATATCTTACTAGTATGTCAGTGGCGGATCCAGAGCGTTTTTTTGGGCTTCAGGAAACCCTCCCACCCTGAGAATTTTCTTTAAAAATCATGTATTTTCACCATTTTCCTCAATTTTTCCCCACATGGAAC